AAAATTTTATCAGAACTATCTACGGGAAAAAGTTGTTGGACACAAGTGGCAGATTTTTTGGTTGAAAAGTATGCCTATATCTAAGTATTCTCACCAAAGAGCCCCCCTCTTTCTTCATTTCTTTACCCTCTCTTGCCCTCGCAGTCAGCAGCCTCATCACCTTCCCTCTTATGTTGCCTTTAGTCATTAGTTTGGCCCGATCTGTTTTATTTCACCATAGATCTGATAGAGCACATCCTCAACCCCCAAAAAGCCTTACTTTCAAGTTTCATCCATCTCTAATCTGGAAGGACCTGTGAAGCCTCTTAAGTAAAATGAAGTTGAATTTTTAAACATTGGCACGACTTTTCATGTAAAGATGAAATTTCATTAGAAACTTCAAAGTTAAGTGTGCTCTTGCTAGAGCACTCCTAATATGGGTGACCTCATGGGAAGTTACACCAACTGGGCAAAAATGTAAGATTATTTGGTCAAAGAGGACAATATCTTGATGGGTGAGAATTCGAGCTATCATAAATGACATCTGAACATTAGACCAACCAAAAAATAGAAATATATGTCTGGCGGATGATTCCGGGCTAAGAGCACTAACGATGATGTTAATTACTTAAGTGGGGAAAATTGTGAAACTTCTTAAGTAAAATGAAGCTGAACCCTTAAACCTCGAGGCGTATTTTTGTATAACGATAAAATTTCATTAGAAAGTCTAAAATTAAGTGTGCTCGTGTTGGAGCACTCCTAGGATGAGTGACCTTCTTGGAAGTTACATAAATGAGGCAAAATTGTGAGATCATTTGGCCAAAGCAGACATTACATTGATAGATGAGAATTTGGGCTGCCACAAAACCATTTACTGAATTCGTAAAAAAAGAACATCAAAACCATCTCTAATCTAGTCTCTTACTGACGAAAATACATGTGAAACCCCTTGAGTAAAATTAAGTTAAACTCTTAAACAGCGAGATGTCTTTTGATATAAAGATGGAACTTCATTAGAAACTCCAAAGTTAAGTGTGCTCCTGCTAGAGTACTCATATGATGGGTGACCTCCAAGGAAGTTACACCAATTAGGCAAAATGTGAGGGCATTAATCAAAGAGGGCAATACCTTAATGGGTGAGAGTTTAGGCTATCACAAATGATATCAGAACATTAGACCAGCCTAAAGATAGAAATATCTGCCTAGTAGATGATTATGGGCTAAGAGCACTAATGATAATGTTAATTACTTAAGTGGGGGAGATTGTGAAACCAAGTAAAATGAAGCTAAACTCTTAAACATCGAGAAACATTTTTGTATAATGATAAATTTTCATTAGAAACTCTAAATTTAAGCGTGCTTGTGTTGGAGTACTCCTACGATAGGTAACCTCCTAGGAAGTTACATCAAATGGGCAAAGCTATGAGGCCGTTTGGCCAAAGTAGACAATACCTTGATGGGTGAAAATTTGGGCTATCACAAAACCTTTTATTGAATTTGTAAAGAAGGAATATCAAAACCATCTCTAATCTAGTCTCTTACTGAAGGATTGACTTGTGAAACCCCTTAAGTAAAATTAAGCTAAACTCTTAAATAATGATATGCCATCTGATGTAAAGATGGGATTTCATCAGAAGCTCCAAAGTTAAGTGTGCCTGTGCTAAGAACACTCCTAAGATGAGTGATATCGAAGGTTACACCAACTGGGCAAAAATGAGAGGTCATTTGGTCAATGAGGACAGTACCTTGATGGGTGAAAGTTTGGGCCATCACAAATAATATCAGAACATTAGACCAGCCTATAGATAGAAAAATATTTCTGGCGGATGATTACGAGCTAAGAGCACTAACGAGGATGTTAATTACTTAAGTGGGGGAGATTGTAAAACCCCTTAAGTAAAATGAAGCTGAGCTCTTAAGCATCTAGGTGCATTTTAAACTCCCAAAGTTACTCCTAGGATGGGTGACCTCCTAGGAAGTGACACCAGTTGGGCAAAAATGTGAGGCCATTTGGTCAAAGAGTGTTGGGTTAAAGTTCGGGCTATCACAAATGATATTAGAACATTAGACCAGCCTGAAGATAGATATATCTGCTTGGTGAATGATTCCGGGTTAAGAGCACTAATGATGATGTTAATTACTTAAGTAGGGGAGATTGTGAAATCCCTTAAGTAAAATGAAACTAAACTCTTAAACATCGATGAGCATTTTTGTATAACAATAAAATTTCATTAGAAACTCCAATGTTAAGCATGTCGTGTTGGAGCACTCCTAGGATGGGTGACCTCCTGAGAATTTACATCAAATGGACAAAAAAGTGAGGTCGTTTGGCAAAAGCGAACAATACCTTGATGGGTGATAATTTGAGCTATCACAAAACCTTTTACTGAATTTGTAAAGAAGGAATATCAAAACCATCTCTAATCCAGTCTCTTACTGAAGGATTGACCTGTGAAACCCCTTAACTAAAATTAAGTTAAACTTTTAAATAATGATATGCCTTCTGATGTAAAAATGGGATTTCATTAGAAACTTCAAATTTAAGTGTGTCTGTGCTAAGAGCACTCCTAAGATGGGTGATCTTGAAAGTTACACCAACTGGGCAAAAATGAGAGGTCATTTGGTCAAAGAGGACAATACCTTGACGGGTGAAAGTTTAGGTTATCACAAATAATATCAGAACACTAGACTAGCTTAAAGATAGAAAAATATGTCTGGCGGATGATTACGAGCTAAGAGCACTAACGATGATGTTAATTACTTAAGTGGGGAGGTTATAAAACCCCTTAAGTAAAATGAAGTTGAACTCTTAAGCATCTAGGCGCATTTTAAACCCCCAAAATTAAGCACCCTCATGTCGGAGCACTCCTAGGATGAGTGACCTCCTGGGAAGTTACACCAGTTGGGCAAAAATGTGAGGCCATTTGGTCAAAGAGTGTTGGGTTAAAGTTCGGGCTATCACAAATGATATTAGAACATTAGACCAGCCTGAAGATAGATATATCTGCTTGGTGAATGATTCCGGGTTAAGAGCACTAATGATGATGTTAATTACTTAAGTAGGGGAGATTGTGAAATCCCTTAAGTAAAATGAAACTAAACTCTTAAACATCGATGAGCATTTTTGTATAACAATAAAATTTCATTAGAAACTCCAATGTTAAGCATGTCGTGTTGGAGCACTCCTAGGATGGGTGACCTCCTGAGAATTTACATCAAATGGACAAAAAAGTGAGGTCGTTTGGCAAAAGCGAACAATACCTTGATGGGTGATAATTTGAGCTATCACAAAACCTTTTACTGAATTTGTAAAGAAGGAATATCAAAACCATCTCTAATCCAGTCTCTTACTGAAGGATTGACCTGTGAAACCCCTTAACTAAAATTAAGTTAAACTTTTAAATAATGATATGCCTTCTGATGTAAAAATGGGATTTCATTAGAAACTTCAAATTTAAGTGTGTCTGTGCTAAGAGCACTCCTAAGATGGGTGATCTTGAAAGTTACACCAACTGGGCAAAAATGAGAGGTCATTTGGTCAAAGAGGACAATACCTTGACGGGTGAAAGTTTAGGTTATCACAAATAATATCAGAACACTAGACTAGCTTAAAGATAGAAAAATATGTCTGGCGGATGATTACGAGCTAAGAGCACTAACGATGATGTTAATTACTTAAGTGGGGAGGTTATAAAACCCCTTAAGTAAAATGAAGTTGAACTCTTAAGCATCTAGGCGCATTTTAAACCCCCAAAATTAAGCACCCTCATGTCGGAGCACTCCTAGGATGAGTGACCTCCTGGGAAGTTACACCAGTTGGGCAAAAATGTGAGGCCATTTGGTCAAAGAGTGTTGGGTTAAAGTTCGGGCTATCACAAATGATATTAGAACATTAGACCAGCCTGAAGATAGATATATATGTTTGGTGAATGATTCCGGGCTAAGATCACTAATGATGATGTTAATTACTTAAGTAGGGGAGATTGTGAAACCCCTTAAGTAAAATGAACATAAATTCTTAAACATTGATGAGCATTTTTGTATAACGATAAAATTTCATTAGAAAATTTCAATGTTAAGCGTGTTGTGTTGGAGCACTCCTAGGATGGGTGACCTCCTGGGAATTTCCATCAAATAGGCAAAAAAGTGAGGTCATTTGGCCAAAGCAGACAATACCTTGATGGGTGAGAATTTGGGCTGTCAGAAAACCTTTTACTGAATTTGTAAAGAAGGAATATCAAAACCATCTCTAATCTAGTCTCTTATTGAAGGAAGGACCAATGAAACCCCTTAAGTAAAATTAAGCTAAACTCTTAAACAACAAGACGTCTTTTGATGTAAAGATGAAATTTCATTAGAAACCCCAAAGTTAAGTGTGCTCGTGCTAGAGCACTCCTAAGATGGGTGACTTCTTAGGAAGTTACATCAACTGGACAAAAATGTGAGGCCATTTGGTCAATGAGAACAATACCTTGATGGGTGAAAGTTTATGCTATCACAAATGATATAGAACATTTGACCAGCCTAAAGATAGAAATATATGTTTGGTGGATGATTAGGGCTAAGAGCACTAACGATGATGTTAATTACTTAAGTGAGGGAGATTGTGAAGCTCCTGAAATAAAATGAAGCTGAACTTTTAAGCATCGAGATGCATTTTGTATAACGATAAAATTTCATTAGAAACTCTCAAAGTTAAGTGCGCTCATGTTGGAGCACTCATAGGATGGGTGACCTCCTAGGAAGTTACATCAAATGGGCAAAATTGTGAGGTCTTTTGGCGAAAGCGGACAATACCTTGATGGGTGAGAATTTGGGTTGTCACAAAACTTTTCACTGAGAAATACCCCCATGTCACTCACCCCACCATCACCCCCCTTCCAGCATTACTATGCTCAACTCAAGAAGCACCCAGAAATTCAAAGATCGCAAAATTACCGTGGAAGTGATCATGTACATTGCTCAACTCTAGAAGCAAATAATAATCAAATATTCACTCATTCAAAGATCGCAAAAATTACCTTGGAAGCGATCATGTAGTCGCCCTTGGCCTTCCATGCCCCGCTCCTTAAGTAACGCTCTGCACTGCAGATCTTCCGCAATGTTGCGATGGAGAGGGCGATTGCTAGGTCTGCAGCGTCGTCTGTGAGCACATCGGGAGTGTTGGTGACGCGAATGCCCCTCGCCCGGCATTTGGCGAGATCGACTTTATCAAAGCCGACGCTGTAACAGGCAACGATGCCTTCGATTATATCGGCGTCCGCACTCACCGTCGAGTTGCCAACCAATGCGCGGATTGACGGCGAGTTGGCGCGGAGGAAATCCTTACGGCTCGCCGGCGGCGGCTCCCACAGCCGGAAAAGCTTGCACCGACGATCCAGCTCGGCTTCGAGGTACGTATTCATCGGATGCGTCAAGAGAACGCCGAGGGACTCCATGACAATGTACTGCCCTGCTCTGCAGTACCCGATGTCTTCTTCTCCAGCCAGCAGCCGCGATCCACTCCCCTCTGGAGGGAAAACGACAAGACATCCTGGATTCTGACGGCCTCGGAAATGGGGGCATTGAAAAAAATATAATAATATTATATTTATTGATAAATTTACATTTATACCACTTATTTTTTTCTTTCAAATTTACATACATGTTGTGTTGTGAACGAGTCTGGCTCGAGCGAGCTAAAATTTAGCTCATGTTCGGCTCGTTTGAAATTGGCTCTTGAACAATATATTCGTACTCTGATCGATTTAAATATTTGTGTTAGTGTTCAGCTCGTGTTTGACTTAAAATTGACTCGTTAAAATTAAAATGAAAAAATAGATGTAAACTGATGGATTCGAAACTGTACTAAATGTATGCAAGAGAAAGCATTAATCAAGTTACCACACGAGGAGTTATGATTTAAATTTAGATATAAATATATATAATACATTACTATATAAATAATATATGTAATATATTATTATATAAATAATTATATTTAATTTTTATTTTGAACTAAAAAGAACCGAACACGAGCGAAAAAATTGTTGTTCATGTTCGGCTCGTTTATAATTCGAGCTTGAAATCTTGTCCGTGTTCGGCTCGTTTACTTAAAGAACGAGACGAATACGAGCTGTTTGAGAACAACGAGCTTTTTGGACGGCCATACGTACATACCATCAATTTTTATTTATTTAATTATCTAACAGCTAAATTTTAATTTTTACAAGAAAAATAATATGGGTAAACGTATTTTTGTTATTAAAATTAAAGTTTGGGTGTGAGGTAATTAAATGCATAAAAATTGAGTGCTGCCTTTGTAATTTTTTTTAATGTGACTTTTATATATATA